AGTCTTCCGCCGTTGCAGACGCCGGGTCTGGCCCAGACGCGTGGCCGGAGAGAGCAGGCAGGACCCACGCCGCTCCGGGCGGCAGCTGACAGCTGCTGGAGCTCAGCTCCTCGGCAAGGCACGGGAGACACGCTGTACGGATTTTTACACTTATCTAAAGCCACGTTGTGAAAAAGCTGCCTGATTTCAGTGCTACATCCATGTACAGGCATCACTCCACCCTGAACGGAGCAAGGGGGAGGGTGGGAATTCAGCTTACATAAATCCCCAACGTGTCCTGTCTAATATTTATAGCCAGCACAAAATGACTTCTTCTTCCAGCCACAGAAATAAACCTGTCAGCTTGGAAGATAGCCTTTTTATTTTATCCATTTCTAGATTGATTTCAAATAGAGGCAAAAGGCATAATAAAATATTTTCCATTGATCCCCGAAATGCAATCAAAGATCATCACCAGCCGAGCATGGCTGCTCTCCCGCTGCGACGAAGCCCTCGCTCCCAGCGCCGAGGAGCAGCAGCGGGCTCAACACGCACTCCATTTCCCAGTTTTTTGGCCCAAACCAGTGGTACAGCCCCAATCTCGCTGGCCTTGCAGGCATCTCGTGGGCTGGTCTGACCGTCCCGGTGCTGCTCCGGGCTGGAAGCCGGGCTCCCTGCCCCCCGGCAGGACCACAAACCAAGCACGCAAACACAGCGCAAACCAGTTCACCAGGAGGGTACCGAAAATGAAGCCTTCCCAAGAGCAGCCCGAGAGGCCTCTTCCCGCAGCCCACGAAGGGGTTTTTCAATCGGAGCACTGCGGAGAGCCTGCCCCAGCCGCCCTCGGCCGCGCTCCCAGCACAACGCCGTCCGCATCGTGCCCCTCCTGGAACAGCTTTTTAGAAATCCCTGCTTTCAGGCACAGAAATCCAAATGGAAAACACCCGCTCCAAAGAAAGGGTGAGGGTCCCCGCGCCAGAAAGCACAGAGCCCAGCTCAGATACCAACAGAAACCCAGTAAGAGATGGAGCATGAGGACCCAAGCACAGCAAGCAGACTGGCAGACGCGCAGCTCGGCAGCTGCTCTCTACAAAAACCCCCAGCTCTTGTCCCTTGCCACTCCCCGAGTGCTGCACGGCTCCCATCCCGAGGCAATTCTCCACATTTTTTCTTCTCTCCGAGCACCTGGCTCCCGAGAGCAGCAGGCGGGCGCAAAGGCCCTCCGCTCCCCTCCGCAGCCCACGCCTGGGCCCAGCCTGGGGTCTCCGCTCCTGGGGCTGCTCAGAGCGGGCACCGCACTGCCCGGGGGCTCGCAGCCTGGCAGAGACCCCTCTCCAGAGCAGCAGCGCAG